TATCGTTGATAATTTTGTACTTTTCCAAGTACTTGGTTAGGTGATTGTTCACAACTCTTTCCATTACTTTTGATATCACCGGAAGTAGAGCAATTGGTCTATAGTTTAACGGATCTGACTTTTTTCCTTTCTTTGGAATGGGTTGTACTGCGGCAGACTTCCATGATGATGGATATACTCCTTGCCTGTAAGACAAATTGAATAATTTTGCGAAAGTTGGGGTGAGTTCGTTGGCGCAATTTTTGAGTACTATTGCGGGAATGCCATCCGGACCCATTGCTTTGTTTGTATCCAGCTTTTTTAGGGATTTTCGTATTTCTCTGTGACAAAAGGGTACCTCTGGCATACTATGGGAAACCCTTTCAATGAACGGTGGAGTTTTTCCGTTTGGCACTGTTAGGTTGGAGTTGGAGGAAAACATTTGGGCAAGCATATTGGCTTTTTCCTCTGATGTTGTGGCTAAGTGATTATTTTTATTTGTAAGTGGTGGTATGGATGACTTGGTGAAGTTAGATCCAACAGCTTTTGCAAGAGACCAAAAAGACCTAGAACTACTTGGACAATTCAGCAACCTGTTTTTTATTCTTTGATTGTATGTTTCTTTAGCGGAGTCAATAGTAATTTTGCAACTATTTCTGGCTTCTATAAATTCTGTGTGGTTTTGAGCGGTTTGTTGTCGTTTCCAAAGGTTATATGCTCTGTGTTTTTTCTGTACAGCCGTTTGACACTGGCTGTTGAACCAAGGTTTTGCATTAGCTCTACGTTTAGTTGTATGTGGGATATATGCGTCCATTCCAGATAAGATTACTTGTGTTATTTCATTACAGCAAATAGTGGGATCAGCTGTTTTAAAGCAAACCTCTTGCCATGGAAAATCCAGGTAATACTGTTTTAGGTCATTCCATTTTGCAGATTTATAGTGCCACATTTTACGAGGAAGTGGTTGTAGGCTTGGTGGGATGAGCATTTCGCACTTTGTTATTATAAGTTTATGATCGGACGAGCCAAGTGGAGCATCTACTTGAATTGTGTACGAGTCAGGATTGGTGGTTAGGAACAAGTCTAAAAGCGCTGCAAATTCGCCCCTTTCTGAGATACGGGTAGGTTCATCGACAAGCTGCGTTAGACCACAACTTATGGCAAAAGCTTCTGCTTCTCTGCCTTCGTTATCTGTTTTGTTGTGGTGTTTCAGCCAGGGTATATTGTGGACGTTGAAATCGCCTAAAAAGACAATTTCCGCCTGTGGATAGTTTGACTGTATACTATCACAGCTTTCGGATAATGTCGTGAAAAAGTTTTGGTAATCGGTGTTACTTGGCGGTCGGTAGAGGCAGCAGATAACCTTGGTCGATGACTTTGAGGTGAATTTTAGCCATATGATATCAAGGTTCGCTGGTTCTAGCTTCTCCTCTCGATGACATGAAAGGTCATTTTTAATGTACACACAGATCCCAAAATTATGTCGAAATCGGTGGTGTAGGTCATAGCCGGGATAAAGATAGTTCACAATAGGTGTTGCAGAACTGATTTTAGTTTCAGTGAGAACAAGGATGTCAGGTCTTTGTTCTTCAAGATGTTGGTGAACTGAATTCATATTTGTACTTATTCCTCTTATATTGCTAAAATCAATTCTGAGTTGAGTTTTTGATCTTCTCTTTATATCTTTGCATGATAGACCCCCATGATAGGGTAGTCGCCTTGCGCGTGTGATCCGAATGAAGTTCGAATGGTATTCCGAACCTACTGAAAACAAAATTGACGAGGACTTTTGCAACTGTAGAGGCTTCTTGCTTTGGAATAGCCACTTGCTGAAATAATCCAGGGCAACCAAGATATATTTGATGCCACTCCGCGTAGTAGGAAATGGAAAACTTTGTCTATTTCATCCCCACGTTGTACCTGCTGCTTCATTTGAATATGTTTTGGGTCGTTGACTTGCTGCGCATATCGCACATTGTCGGCACCATGTCTTGACATCCTGGTAATAGTTCACCAAAAAGAATCCGTCACGGATTCTGTCCAATGTCTTGTTGGTTCCCAAGTGAGCTCGAACAACTTTTGTTCTAGACAGGACCAATTGCGTTTTGACGATTTTACCATCTGCACTCTCGCAGGTTCGTTTCAGTAAACCATTTTCGACTAGCGGAAAGTCCCATTGAGCCCACAGCTTCTACTTATATTTGTGCCAGGTTGGTTTATATTTTCCTGATTTCTTTAGATTCGAAAATGGCTTGATGTCACTATCTTGTAATTGATGGTCAATTCTAAGCTGTCCAGAAGTCGAGTCTTGATCCGTTCCAAATCGAAGGCTTCTAATAAGAACTCCTCCATCTGGGTTATTATGCAGTTTACCAGAACAGCGTTTGATTTGAAAATTGTACTGGTGTAACTTCTCCAGCCATATTTTCTGCCTGTTCTTCTGGTTTTTTCATGTTAACTAGCCCAATTAAGCTCTTCTAATGGGAAATAATTTTCCATACAGATACTTGTGGAGATGGTCAATTGCTCTAACTATTGCTAAAAGTTCCTTTATTGTAATTCAGTAATTTCTCTCAGGCTTGGTAAGCATTCTATACTGTAGTATGACACTTTTTATCCATCGGTTATTTGCGACAGAATAGCATCATTGCCTCTGTGTTGCTCGCGTCTGTGTCTAAAATAAATTTTCCATGTACCCGTGGGTAGCCTAACCTAAATGACTGGATCATAGAGCTGCTTTTAGCCTCCAATAGCTACGTCACAGTCGGTGGTCCAATTAAAAATGCAATAACGGTGCTGCCTTAGCAAATCCGTCTACAAATCGCCTGTACTATGTACAAAGCCCAAGGAAACTTCTGAGTTTATGCTTGTCTCGAGGTCGAGGCCATTCACGAATTGCTTGGACTTATCCTTCTTCAGTGTAAATAATTGCGGGTGAAACTACGTGACCATAAAAATAAACGTGCTGTTGGAAGAGTGAACATAATTTATTGCAGTTTAATCGGAGGTTTGCCTTACGGATACAAGTAAATACTTCTTGTTAGCTTTGTGGGTGGTCATCGAAAGTTTCTCCCGTCACTAACATATCATCCAGGTAAGAGACAAGACATACTTTCCACGTAAGTCCTGCTGGTACGAATTTTATCAACCTCTTAGAAGTAGCGGTGGCGTTACAGAGTCCAAAAGGCATTAATTTGAATTGAATTGGTAAAGACTAGTTCCAGTGGAGAACGCTGTCTTCTCTGTCTTTTTCGTCAATGCTCACCTGCCAGTATCCGCTTTTTAAATCCAAGGTAGAAAACGAATTTGAGTCTGCCAATGCCGTGAGGGTCAATTCTAGGTAATGGGTATCTAGCTGACTTCATGAGTTATCGAGAATGCGTTTTTTTTTTTTAAATTTATTAACAAATTATTACATAACATAGATAACCAAATAATAAATACATAAATGTAGGTACCCACATGATTATTATTTTTTTTTAAATCACAAATTTTTGTCTGTTTTTGTTTTTGGCTATATGTTTAACAAATTCTGCCTCAACATACAATGTTACTTGAGAAAGTTTTTGTGATGCTGCTAAATCACCTCCAGAAATAAAAAATGACTCTCTCTCTTAGTTTTTTTTGTAGGCATCACTAATGTGAGGAACTGTTGTAATATTTTCCTGTTCGTCGTCACTCTCACTGTCGGAATTATTGGAACAACACAAATAATTAAACTTCTATCAGAATTTTCAGTCTCTAAATCGGCATCAATTTCCACGTAGTTCAAAAGATTTTCAATTTAATAATATACCTGTTCCTGTAATTTACTCAGGCAGGTAATAATAAGTAAATTAACTACGAATAATGTATGTCTTGGGTTTTTAGATAATTTGGTAGAAGAATTCCGACTTTTATTTCTCAAGGAATTTTGATTTTGCGTTCTAAAGGGTAAATTACCGGGTAAAAATTTTAAAAGTTTTGTCCGGGACTGTTCTGTAGGGGGTCCGTTGTGTAAGGTTTTTTTTAAGTACGACCTACACTGTAAGAGCTTATTACGTAACTCATTTTATCCTGTTTGAGTTACGTAATAAGTTGTATTACCGTACTTAGTGATGTAATGAGCTCATTACATCACTCAGTTTTGTAATATAAATCACTAGTGATGTAATGAGCTCATTACGTAACTAATTTTTATTGAAAAACTGCACTTTTTAAAATTTATTTATCAAAAATTAAAAGTAGGTATAATCTAATGTGAAAAATTAAAACCATTTCGAATACATGAACAAAAATCTGGGTCGTACATAAAATGTTGTATATCACACGTACGGTAGCGCTCATTACTCACTCGTTTGATTACCACGACTCGGTCTACGACCTCGTCTTGGCAATATTTCCCACTCGTTACTGTAATGAAGCTCATACCGTACTAGTGTTGACGGAAGTTTCACTGTATTTTATATTTTTCCAAGAAAATCCATGTCTAAATTGTACATGAAATAAATGTGTCATACTAGAATCCAAAAACCGCATATTAATGCAATGCTCCGTTTAAAAGTAAGGTTCTTTTTTTTTTAACCAAACTTCTTTCAGCTCGCTACAGTGTCGAAAAACCCCGCGCAGCCACGGAGGTAAAAATCGAGAGAATTTCCTTAGGAATCCAACAATTGATTTGAACCTAAGCTCTAGCATAGCAAAGCATAGTTGAGTGCAATTGTATATTTCCTTTCCTTTTTGTAGGTATCGCATTTTCTTTTCTACATATAAGGCAGGCCCATTGATAACGTTCCGAAGCGGCACAAGCCACAATAGGAAGATGGATAGTGCCATTATGCATCTCGTTTTCATGTTGCGACACTTTTATTTACAAAATATTTGTATGCATACGTACTTATCTCTCTTCCCTGTTTGTTGCCTGTTATGTTGCAGGTCCAAGTTTACGACATTTTTAGAAAATAAAATATGTCCGCTTTACACGATATAGGAAGCTCGATAATTGAGGCGCGTTCCAAGAGTGCATAAATAGAAACTCTTACCTTCTATAAGCCGTGATATGCGTTCCTCACATTCCCCATACATGCTGGCTCTGTAAAAAGCACTTCTCCTATGAAAACCTTCCCCAAATCCAGCTTCAGATAGTTCTAGTTCGCTGGGTGGCTTGCTGCTTCTACGTTCTCTTCTTCTCACTGGAGCAGCACGTGAAGGTGATTTTCTGCAAGCATTGACAGTAGCAGCTATGATTATAGCTAAAATCAGCAAAACTGCTGCTGCTGAAACTCCAGAAATGAGTATTGTGAGATTTTGGTTGGTTTGGGAACCTAAAGTTTTCTTGGAATTTGGAATGTTTGAGATTTCATATACTTGAGAGCCTGAAATCAAAGACAAAGAAAATAATTTTAATTTACTAAAAAAAAACAGACTCACCATCCTTCAAAAGTTCTTCAGACGATGACGATTCTTGTTTCACTTGTATGAAAGGGAGTTGCACTGGTGGATCGCTGCGTCCTCTAGCATTTTCAGCGTAAACTACTGCTTGATATTCTCTGTTTGGTCTAAGATTTAATAAGCGGAATAAGGGCCGGTCTCCAAGGACTCTGTATGATGGAGATTCACCTTCTCCTGTAAATGTAAAGCCAGTGCCAGAGAAGAATTATTTTAAATCAATCTTGGAGGCCATCGTCAATTAGAATTTTTCCATGGCGTTTCGTTAGCTGACTTATTAGTATGAGAGCGGGGACTTGTGAAAACCTTAAAAAATCCACATAAGGACGATATTCAAGCCAACAAAGAAATTGTTACAAACTGTGAGATTCGCTTCTAAGTCCAGAGATCTGATGTAATTAAATGAGGTGTCACGAGAAGAACAAGGGTAACTTAGGATACAAAAGCTTTAGAATGCGAGAGACTGGTTTAATGGAAGAACACGCGCTCGGTCAAGGCAATCGCAAGATTTTCGTAAATGCGAAGCATATTGCGTTTATTTTAGGATACCACGGCCTACTCGAACGAGCAGGTGCAAATACACCGTCGACCATTTATATATCACCATATCCCAGCATCACTTTTGTACAGTCACTCGAGATAGCAATTTTGCAATATAGAAATGCAATAACCACATCCCAGGGATTCCACAGCTGTGCAAATCAGTCATAATAGATGGACTTCAGGTAATTTTAATTGCAGTATTTTTCACATTGTCGCCGATGAGTAATTGACTAAGGGTATTACAAACAAAGTTATATTGGTTATTCCGAATAGGGGTAAGATACCTGTAATTCAAGTATGCGAATTATCTGTTAGAAAGATAAGTTTCTATCACTGATTGTTCGTTTCAAGTAATAATAGTAGTGTCCTTTCTACCGAGGATCTCACCTAATCTCATCTCACTTCACTTACTTGATGATTTACTCAGATAACCTCGACTCACTTCATCTCAAAATGAGATGAGACGAACCGTATTAATGCCAAGATCTCAAATCGAGGCTCGTTCAGACGTGGTGATAAACCATAGCACTAAAATGTTATGAACTATTGGATGTCACGATATCATGATATCATGACGGAGTCATCAAAAATTTTTGATATGCGAAACCATGTCACTGGCGTTGTCGTGATACTGGGATCGAATATTACATATTGGCCTCGAATGTTTTGTTTTTGATTATCATAACGCCGGCGTTTGATGTGTCTGCATATCTGAAATTCTATACTATTTTCAATACCCCAACGAAATTATCACTTGTTTTCGAAAAAAACTAGTTACTGTTAAACATGATATCGATTCATTTTCTTTTTTGAGAATGGGTGGCTATGAAAATCTGAGGAGATAGAGAGAGGTAGCCCTGAAATATTAACAAAAAATCTTCGATGAGGGATTAATGTAAATTTGAGGTTAACTTTTTTTGTCAAAATGAAAACCAGGTTGTCAAAAATTAATATTTGTATTATTATAAAACCCATAATAGTTATTTATTTACGACTAATGTATAATATGCGTATTATATTTGTGATTTTGGCAGTATAATGACATATGTTATTCCTCCAGGGATTAATGACGAGCAGCGGGATTAATGGTCATTATTCCACAAAAGTGTCAGCGTCAAACGTGTAGTGCTTGTGGATTTGTATTGAAAATTATGAGACGGATGAAATTTGTTCATTGAAAATCTCAAATAAATCAATTTGTCGTAAATAAAGTAGAGTATACTACTAATAATGGCTATTATTCCCTCGGAATGTTACTCCCTCGCCGCTAAGCAGTTTGTAATAATCCTCGGGAATAATAGCTATCATTATTGACTCGTGGTATAATCTACTATTATACACCAAGTGAGCAATTTTTTTTTGTGAAAATTTAAAAAATAAAGTACAAGGAAAAATGGCAAGAGTGAGTTGAAAATATTTTAAATCACTGAGATTCAGATTTTTAGTTGGGCAGAGTGACTTAAAATGACGAGAGTGAGTTAACTTTTTTTTTAAATCACTGAGGTGATAAACGTCTACTTACCTTTATTTTTATGCGTTCAAGTCATTTTTAAACGTCAAAATGGGATAAAAAATATAAATATAATAGTTATTTATACACCAAGTGAGCTACATGAATGTTTATTCATGAGAAGAAAGTTTAACCGACGAGCCCTAGCGAGTGGGTCAACTTTCTTCGAATGAATAAATATTTCAACTTACGTGATGTATACAAAATTTTATCACATTTTTTTGGACATTTAAAAAATAAAGCAATAGGAATCAAATTATAAAGAATTCAGTAAGTAGCATATGAAAGCGCCAATATTTTATATTCAAATTGATGGTTGGTAGGATATAACTAGTTGTTTGTTTGTATTCGTAGCAGATTTTCATACTGGCAGAGTGACTTAAAATACCAGGAGTGAGTTAATAGTTATTTATATTACTAGTGCGGTATGAGCTTCATTACAGTAACGAGTGAGGAATATTGCCAAGACGAGGTCGTAGACCGAGTTGTGGCAACCACACGAGTGCGCTGAGTACGCTTATTTTACCGTACGTGTGATATACAACATTTTGAATCACTGAGGTGATAAACGTCTATACTTACATTTATTTGACATTAATGTCATTTTTAAACATCAAAATAGGATAAATAATAGAGAGTTATTGGAGTGCAATAAGGACAAGCAGTATTTAAATTAGCCTTATTTTGACATCTGCGCATGCGCGTTTGGGTCTGAAAATAAGGATTCCCTTAATAAGGTTACTGCTTGTCTTTATTTATGTATGGTTAGTGCGAGGCAGTAAACTTCCCTTATCCAATATTTCTGAAATTTTTAATGACTTTGACGTTTCGCTTTTCGACGATGACGTAATTTTATTTAGAGAATTGGTTTTTCACAATAGCTTTTCATTTTACTGTAGGTAACATCAAAAAATGGGTATCAGCAGAAACTCACAAACAAAAATAAACACTTTTTGAGGTTGTAATTTATAAACTTAGCTATTAGCTGTCAAAATTATAAATACAAAATAAGGTAATACTTAGCACTTACTACGGTCTTCCAATAACTGTTAGTTTCTTGGACAAATAGTGCTGATGCACTAATAAAATAACGTAGATCCTTAATACTGCGAAGCAGTATTTGATAGTTCCAATAACTCTCTAATATAAAACCAATCGAACCGACATCCGATTGCCGGTAACTATTTTGAGATTTGATTATTCAGATTTCACGAAAACGATGTCCAAAAGTAACCACTTTTCCAGGAATCAGAGAAATTTGATTACTTTCGGACCAGAAAACCATAACCCTGGTTATATTCGGACCATAGCTTTAGTTTCCGTATTGTTTCTTCTTATCTCATCCGTAATAGGTATAATTTCGGAATGATCAAATTGGATTTTTGAAGGTGGTACCAAAGTCTAAGGTAGTTTTAATTCAGGATTGCACAAAGCTGCTAGTGAATTGTTACTGATTATTAAAAGCTGCAATGATAACCTGACATGCCATTTTCTTTGGTGATTTTGTGTCATTCTGTTTATAAGAAGCGGTAACCAAATAAAAGCGCCACTCCAAAGAGGTATTAAAAATAGTATATCAGCAATATCCCTGTTGGAAATGATTGACCGGGTAAATTAGGTCTGGTTTTCGCCGGCGTGGATCTTGGATCCTACACTGCACTGAGGAGGTGAAAGAACACCGAAACGCGTTTGTAGTTGGATCCGCAGCAAAATTTGGGTACTCGTTTGCCATGATTTGTCGCTCAAATTTCATGATAGCAATACATCTGGAACCGATTTCTTGCAATGTTTTGCACGGACGACTTGTTAGGGATTCTCTTCTGCTTCTGTTTTACGCTGTGGACCTCAACGAACCCTAAACTGCATTAATGAGCTTCAAGAATAGCGAAACGCTTCCATCCGGAACGTAAAAATGGATATTTGTTTGAAATAATAATATGATGTATTTTTCACGGATAATGTTCTCAAGGATTTGTGATACGTTCAATTTTCTCACATGAATGTCGTTTATGGAAGTTGGCATCAATCGACTCCCTAGAAAAGCTTGAAAATAGGTATAAGATAAATTTCCATCCCAATTTTGTGTCTTAAAGAAATGTCGACCATATAGGTTTTTTCTAGTTCACACACAAATGGATTTGTACTTAATATTCTCAGAATTTGGAGCTATTTTTGGGTTTGCGAGACCCAGACAATTGCCAGAGCCAGATCCAGTAATGACCACATAAAACCCGCCTACTATACTTATTTATTATTAAATTGATTTAATCTGAGCTGGGGCCAAACACTCGACTTCAATAGATACCTACGATACAATTTATTTTCGTTTTTTCCCTTGACCTTTTTTTTTTTCTTAATTTAACCAAATATTTCCTTTTGGTTAAAAATAAGAAGTTGATTAGAAAGCGTAACAGTTGCTACTATTAGGGTTTGGTACTTGTATTTAACTCTAGGTCATCTACGATTGACAATAATGAAAAAAACGACAATGTTGCAACTAAAATATACGGATGGCGTCAGGGCCGTGCAGAAACGTGTTATTTGTAAAATCTGCATTGACTTGATTTTCTGGCATTGTACCTACTATTCACATCCGACTCGTGGAACCAAAAAAGTGTACTTACTTATCCCAAAATAATGGCGCAACACCTACCTTACTGTCTAGTGTGGAAACATTCTCTTCTAGTTGACTTGTTGCATTCATCTCTAGGCAATTTTTAAATGTTTAACTTTCTGGATTCGGGTCTATTTTCATTATTTAGTTTAGTATTGAAGCGTACTCAGCATTATAACAACAACATTATATCATTTTTCTAAGCATCTTAGGAAATTATTTTTCCGATGAGGAAACTAATAGAAAAAATAAAGGAGGAAGATATTGGTCTGACTGGAACTGGAAGCTGAGTCACGAAAATAAAAAAAAGATACGACAACCCCGAATCCCAATTAAAATATTACCATAAAATATTATTTTATAGAAGAAAACTCTGAATATTTGAAATGTTAATGCAACATGGTTAAAAAAAAAAAAAACAATAAAACACGAAGTTCCTATCTTCAAATTCTAACCTTGATCGTTTAATGTTGAGGATTGGATACCTGGTGGTGCTGGACCAGAAATGTCGTTCACTTCTAACACGAAGCTTTGATGAAGTCCTCCATCGTTACCTGCTATACAGGAAACCTCAACACCACCTCGACTTGCGTTTCTTATAAGGCAGGCTTTCGGGGATTCAGGTGGTTCTAAAACAAAAAATACAATGGATTGCGAATAGCGTTTATTGAGAGAGCGGCATTTAAGTTTTCCGATATTTTGCTTTTTCTCAAAATGAGAAATAATTTATGTGTTGCCTATTTTTCAAGGTTTAGGTCGTTATGGATTATTCCTAAGTGAAGATATTGCGAAAAAAAAAAAACGCCTGAAGGGCATTATAATTTAAAACTGCCCATGGTGCATACAATGCGTTATTTTCTATTAAACATAATGTTCCTTCATCAGTTTAGTATCAAACAAAATATTTAACAGGGCAAACCATATAGGTACTCTTATCATATTTCGCCATCCTGAAATTAAATTATTATATCATTTAGATGTTCAAATTGAGATTTGTTCCAGATTAAATGCCTTCTCCTAAAATCAAAACTTTCGCCCAAGTTTAACGATGGATCGAGATTCGCCCAAGACAAACTATCAAACTTAAACTTGTGTTTTCACTCTAATAAATTGCTAGTAACTCTAAATTTTCCAAGAACTTCAACTGTATTAAAATTTCAATAAAAAAAATGTTTATCTTTCCCAACTATTAATTTTTCTTGTATTATTATTTGAACAATTTTAATTTTAATGAACACAATATAAATTTTATTACACCAAGGAATCTATGGAGTTCCAAAAGCGAAAGTTTTTGAAAATCTCATTTCCATTTCGAGGGGATAGGTAACTAGTTAAGCAGTTTAAATATTCATAAGCTCAGATGGGGATTTTGCTATGCAAACATGGAAATGAAATTACTCTTAGTTAAGTTATCAAATTTTCGAAGCATATAAAGTTTAACTTCAATATTAAACTAACTCGAACCAATTTTAAACCTAACGATCCCCACTTTCAGTTGTAACACCGTTCCTATTAAACTTAAATGAAACTTCCTATATGTTGGCGTTTATTGGTAATGCCAGATCAAAAAAAGTAGGTACTAGCCAAGTAAGATTTTAATGTGACTTGTTTCATTCTCTTCAGATAATTTTTACCCCATATACCTATAATGAATAAATTGTGAGGATATATACAAATAAAATTATGGTGATGAACTTTAAAATTTCGCGCAACATTATAATGGGTCGTATGATGAAAATCAAGGCAAGGATAGCTACTGTATTAGAGCATAGTTTATACTTTTTTTTGCATACATAAGAAACAAATAATTCTTGAACTAGAGTATCCCCTACACGTCATTTCAAATTGTTCGTTCAAAGACTGAGGTTCAATTAAATCATGGCCGCTATTGCGCAAAAACCGCATGGAAAAACAAAAGTTTATAAGGAAAGAAAGGAAACAAGGCTCGAAGATTTGACAGTGACAGATACAGTAGAGAAAATGCTGAATGAATGGCATCGTACTTTTTGAGTTTAAATTTCTAGACAAAAACTTGAAATTTTCCCAATTTTCTAAGGTTATATTTAAATTTTCATTTATTTAAAGATTATGTAAACCAGAAGCAAAATAGCTAATTTAACTAATTTTTTAGATACTATAGAGATGAAGATCTTCAAGCCAAACAACAATGGCAAAGTTTAATTTTTTTCTTATTCAATATTTTAGTTGGATATAGGTAAAAAAAAAAACACTCTTTAGACGATCGATGTATATATTTTGTCAACGTTTTGATATCTATGAGATCATCCTCAGGACTCTTAAAAAAAAATTTAAAATAATTAACCCAAGTACCTATAAGAACAATCAACAACTGAGGAAAATACCAAAGCCCTCTACACTAATAAGCCATGAAGTAAGAAATCTGGCAACATGTCATGTGGGTCATATGTTTTCGATTGAGGTTAGGTTTTGAATGTGCTCATTCACGCTCATTATATTTATTTTTTCTACAACTGTTAAAAAAATGATGATGTTTGCACACTCCTGACAGTTTGCGAAGTGACACTTTTTTTCCCAGGTATTGATTTTTTAACGTTCCCATGACACCAGTAGTTCCAGGCCCTGCGATCTCTTATTGCCAGTAATAAACCACATAATAACTCTTTTCCGTTTTTCTAGATGTCGCTGACAACAACAGAATTGTGAAATACCAGCACATCAAGAATACGACCGATTTCGATAACATTGACATGAGATTGACATGTCAACATATGACAATATGCCAAAATATTCATTTTATCATAACTAATAATTCATAATGTTTTTCGTTCGCCGGTCTTGCATTTCGTCTTTCTTTGTGTTGTCAAGTGTTTCTAAGTGATTTCAAAGTGGTTTTGTGTGTTTCACGAAGACCTTCAAACTTTATAGATTGGAAGATCTATTTTTATCTTTGTTGATTAGATTAATGACAGGTTCAATTAAACATCAATCAGAATTTTGAATAAATACGTTAAGGATCAATAATCATCGATAAAGGAACTGTCTTTTGATCTAATTAACAAAACATCAATTAATTTTAGCAAACATTAATGTCCCAAAGTCTAGAATAAAGAAATTTTAACAGACCGACTGTAATGCGAACAGGGCGCCATCTATCATAAAAATGCCTTGAAGCCCTATGTAAAGTAGGTGTCTGTAGCGTCGATGCAAAACCAGTAAATAGTGAGTTTCCAATGTGATAGATGGCGCTGGCTTGGCTCAATTTTGTTGACAACAAAATTTACACTGAGATTCCATTCTCGACAGTTTATATAGTATTTATCTCTGAGTAGTTCGCACACTGGTGTCATGGTGACACATACCTGTCAGGATGTCAAAAATAATTAAAACTCACCTGCCTTTGATTGGAAATGCAATTTTGGCTTCGAATGATCGATATTTGAATGGAGTTGTAGAAAAAATATTGTTTACAGCTCAGGCGCGAAATGTTTTTGGTGATCTCGAACGATTTTTTGACTCCGCTACGCGTCGTCAAAAAAATTTCGTTCTCGATCACCAAAATGACATTTCGCGCACTTGATACAAAAATAACTATTATCTATTTATTATTATTATAGCGCTTTTGATTCATCTGTAATAGTTCAAAAGTTCAATAATTGTGTCTCGTGCACTATTTTATCAAAATTTTAACCGCTTGAGTTGTGTGCTGTAAAGATTTTGATACTACAGAAATGCAAACAGTGATGTAGTGACGCAGAAGTAAACCACCAAGAAAAACCGCCAAGAATAAAATAATTGTTAATAGATCTGGTTATTTTGTTGAAAAATGAAACAAACAGCAAACAAAACATAAATCAAACTGGAAAAATGAAATCAAAATCAACTACAACTTACCGAAAATTAAATACCCCAGGTCACCACAACATTCAACCAGTTACAGCCGGAACTTCTAGTAAAATGATCTCCAGCGAATAAAGAAACAACAGAAACTGAAATCCCTTCTCAAAGATCCGATAAGTGGGGTCACTCAAAAATAGATGATTTAATTGGAATGTGTCCCTGAAATGCGGCACTTTACTAACATGACGCCATCTGTCACTGAACCCAAATTCCGGGAAAGCACCATAAATCAGGCGCGTGCTATATGCCGACAAAGAAACGGTACCGCATTCCACTAAAAAGAGGGCCGAGATGACGAAATCTGGATGTCAAAGCACTCATAAATTGGGGGAGAAATTACGTCGAAAGAACAGAGGAAGGAAGGAGACAATTTTTATATAAAAAGCCTTAATTGCGATAAAAATAGCAGTGCCGGTTCAGAAGAAGTATCAGTCAAGAACGGTCAAAAGTGTCAGTCGAGAACAGTAAGAACGGTCAGTCAAGTGTCAGACGCAGCAAGCAGAGTCCAAAGTCGAAGATAGTACGAAAAGTTTTACGGAGGCAGTGCGAAAATTTCGGGTTCATAAAGTCAAGTCGTGAAAATAACGTTTCAGTAATCACGTGTGTGCCAGTAGAATTTCAAAGTAATAAATACATCTTGTAAGTACATTTACACTGTAAAAAAAGGAAAGAGATTTTGGCGATCTGTCGATTTTTTCCAAATTTTGATATGTTGTAGGGGATTTAATTCTTAACACGTTCGCGACGTAGCCGATTTCGGGTGTCTTAATGCACAGCCGTATTTTATTTTATTTTTGTTCAACATGTGAATATAGTGTATTTGTGTTCAATCAAGTGTTATATACTTGTTTTGAGTTTTTTTGCAATTTTTTGTTATTTTTCAAAATGTACCACCGGTGGTACATGACGGCTGTGACTAATATTTGTTTCTCAGGGACGTGGTGTACCACCGGTGACCACCATGTAAAAGGCATGTTATTAGAAGTTTTTATCAGTTAGAATTTAATTAAGTAATGTAAAACTATATACTGGGTGTTGCCTGAATAAAAAAAAATATTAAAACTATTACTAAAATTATGTTATTTTAGTAGGTAGACGAAAATCATAGAAATCAATGTAAGAAATGTCCGATTTAGAACCGCATGTACCACGGGTCATGTACCACCTTTACGTACAGCCGTAACTTGTTTTCTAAGCTTTCTATGCAGCCGTCGCGTTTTTAAATAGGATTATATTTGCAGGGCATGGTGTACCACATGTGGTACATGACGGTTGCTGGGATCAGCCGTCATGTGCCAGCGGTCGCGAACGTGTTAACAACCTTTAAATGGGATGAAATCTTGTAGGCATTACGGTCTTTAAGATATGAGCGTTGAAATATTAACTTTTTTGCGACTTTTTGTGTGGAGAGTATACGAAATACTGGTGGTACTGGGTGCCACTGGTGTTTATCAGTCAAAATATTGACAGGTTCACATATTTCACGTCACTAACAAATTAATGTCAACATAGGCTAAGGCCGGGACCACACTGGGACCAATGTTGACGCTAGTGCGGTCCCGGCCTTAGCCGATGTTGACATTTGTTAGTGACGTAAAATATGCGAACCTGCCAATATTTTGACTGATAAGCACCAGTATTTCGTATACTTTCCACACAAAAAGTCGCAAAAAAGTTCATCTTTCAACGCTCATATCTCGAAGACCTTAATACCTACAAGATTTCGTCCCATTTAAAGGTTGTTAAGAAT